GGGGCAGATAAATATTAATTTTCTAAATATTTAGGGGCCCCATGAGCCAGATAGAATGGCCTGGCGGGCCACACCCCTGTAATAGGATGTTGCCAATGATGCCTGCCTTAACATATTGGCTAACATGGTATATTTTGCCCTTATATGTCATTTTTGCCTTACAGTAGCATGCTGAAAAATTGACAACAGCCTTAAAATATTTTCCATTTGTAGACTTCACACTTCAGGACTATTGTGAGTAGAGCACATATTCTGGGGCTTGTAACTCTCAGAGATTTAACTGTCTAGCAGTTGTTTTTGTGAAATTCTGTAGTATGGGAACATGTTTGTAGTGCTGTGCGAATGCTACCACTCTACATCCCATTCTGACAAGGTAGGAAGGAGCTATGCTGTCTTTGTTGTACTTCTGGTGTTCTGTAACTGGCATCCAGTATTATAGGGTTCTTTCATGTCCTGGAGAGAGAAGTCATGTTTCCCATGGAGGAAAGGAAGGACCTCAAGGAAATGAAAAGTACCAGAGAACAAGGTGAGGACAGGGGAATGAATGCTATCTAAGTAGAAAGTATATTCTACTTCCTTTAAGTGGTCATTCTTTGCTGCTTCTTCCCTTGCATTTATTAAATATAGTGGCAAATTGCTCATCTTGAGACATCTTCTGGAGATTAGAGTGTGGGGCCTTGGACGTTCTGGCTTTTTTTGCATCAGTGTAGCTTCTGCAAGTGAAGCTCCATGGGGAAGCCCCTAGTGTAGACTTGCTGCCTCTATATTAGACTGTTATGGTGTCTACCTTGTTTTGAGAGTGAGGTATGCCAGACTAGTGCAGAATTCATACCAGGTGTTTGCAGTAGTGAAGTATAGTGTAGTGTAGGTACACCAATATAAAAATTTGTAGCAGGCAGCCCTGTTTGGCTGAATGCTCAGATTCACCACTGGTTCCTTCTTCCAGTAATGACATCTTCCTAGGCCAACATGTAACTATGCAGATGAAAAGGTAACAAGATGGACTAATGAAAGGAAGAGGGCTGAGGAAGGAAAACCCAGTCCAAAATGCAAACGGGGAAAAAACGAGGTTGAAAATATTGCCTAAGAGTAATCTTTGACTTCCTTAGCGTTTATATATTGTAATACACTCGAGTCCACTTTCTTGGCCTATTAAATGATTGTCTTACCTCACTTCTCTTGATGGGACACTGTTCTTCGTCAGGCTTCTGAAATGAACTAGGCCAGTGTTTTCCATTGGATAATCAAAGCGTGCTCTTAGTCGGAATGAAAATGATGAAACATTAATAGTTAATGCAGCATCTTTCTTTAAGGAATGTGTACTTGTCATGGGATTATAGTATCGCATCTGCCTTCCAGCATATTGTTTGTTCCTTTTGTTTTATAATTGGGTTTTAGAGACAAGAAATTTTCTTTTTTACTAACCTTTCCTTTGCTGTGTGATAGATCCACATAAATGGAGGAAATTTACTCTAGAGTTGGAGTTCATTATACAGTAACAGCTGTCAAATGCATAATGAAAAACTAAAAAGAAGTATTTTTCTCAACTTTGTACTTAGATGTTAATTTTAACTATAGCAGCCTACATATTTTTGGGTGTCTCTGAGTTGACAACCTCTTTAACCAAGATTTGTTTAGTACAAAATCTTTTCCAGCACCGTCAAGAGTTCTCCTACACAAACTTTAAAAAGCTACTGTGTAGACAAAGCATAACCCTGTTATGTATTACTTGTGTGGATTTTGAAGCTCATACTCATCCTTATTTGCTGATCCCAATATATGAGGGTCTTAACAGTTACTGAAAATGTTGTACAGAATAGCACACAGATTTCTTAATTTTCAGTGCATTTGATGGTATGAGTTTTTGGACTGCACCTACATTTCTCAACAGTGTGACCTCAAATCAACCTTCGCTTCATGCATATAGGAGCCTTCTGTTGGCTACTTTTTCCTGTCAAAGATGAAAGCGTTAGCAAATGCAGTTGGTGTTTGTGGGTGTCTTCCATTTTGGAAAATAAATGCAGTACTAAATAATGCAAATATGCAAATATCTATGCTTTGTATTGCATTAGTGGCAGCAAAAGTAACTTGCATGTTAGTTAATAGGATGACTAAAATAAAAACAAGGTTATAGAATCATTGTTTTAAAAGCCAAGGTGGAGAATATATAGTATGACTGATTTTTGAGGTTTTTGAGCCTCATACAGTGGTAGAATGCTGGATTTTATAGTGTTTCTTTCTGTGCTTAAAGCTCTAAAGGTGATGTTACTGGGTGAATTACAGTGCACTGGCAGCCACTGAAATTACACAGGCAGAGTGGTCTTGGAGGTGATGCAACACCTCTTATTTGCAGAAGTGCCAGCATAAACTGGGCAGTGTCTGACTTGCCAGCTGTGCTGAGAAACCAAAAAAGTGTCAGTTCTGTGCACTAGACAGCTGCTAAAGCATCTTATTTGGAAGTTTTCCAGCAAAAGGCAGAAAGTGAAATGCTTTTTTCTTCCAATATTTTCACATAGCTTTAGCTGTTCTTTCATAAGAGGGAATATTCATGGTGGCAGCGAGCATTTTACCACATGGAAAGCTAGCTAGATAACCAGCTCTGTGAGTAATTGCAGATTTCTACCACTTTGTAGTGGATGGTGAGGCGCATGTATTAAGGAAAACCAGTTATTGTCTAGGTTTCATTTGAATGCATTTGAAAGGGTTTAAGGTTACCATTGTTTCCTGATTCTGTTCCTTCTTTGCTTTTAATACTTATCAGATGAAGGCATTGCTCTAATGTTGAAAGATGTGATGAAGATACTTGTCTTACTGAAATAGTAAGAGGGAGACAGGAAGACATTTACTTGATTATTGCTGGCAATATGTCTTTTTGCCCTCTGAATTCTTGTCATCAAAATTTACTGGTTGCAGACCGGCTTCTAGTGCATCTAAGTTATACTCTCGATACTGGATGCTGGAATTAATTTCTAACCTTTTCCTCTCTTGAGAAAACTAAGGTCTTGCTATCACAGACAAAGTGTTTTCTGGAACTCTCAGTGTATTGTGCTTTTTTTCAGTTTCTTGGCCCATATTTCTGCCAAATATCTGGCTGTTGGGGGATCGATGTTACTCTTACTTGGCTGGAAGGCCTGACATGAGGCACTTCCTTCCCTTAAGGGCTAACTCTGGGAGAATAAAACCTATAAAACTTGTCTTCTAGTGTAGCGTAAAGTTGGATTCAGTGACAACTTGCATCCTTTACGGATTGTCTGAATACATCCTTTAGACTTCTCTAAATTTTGGTTTGTGATTTGCCAAGGAATAGCAGCTCTGAGGATGCATGTGCTAGAACAGGGGTGGGCATAATGCGGCCTGGATGCAGCCCGCCAGGCCATTCCATCTGGCCCACGGGGCCCCTAAAAAATTTAGAAAATATTTATCTGCCCCGGCTGCCTGTAATGGGGCCCTCGATGGCTTGCCAAAACTCAGTAAGCAGCCCTCTGCCCGAAATAATTGCCTGCCCCTGTGCTAGAAGAATAGAAGAATACTGGGGTAGGCAACCTTTTTTTGGCCAGAGTGCCGAAAAAAACCACAATGTCTACCTTGGAAGGTGCTGGAGTGCCAGCATGCCATAAAAACAAAATGTGGGGGTGGAGGGTACATGGCAGAATGCACTGCATAGTAGTATATTTAATAATCACAAATGTTGCCTTCATTGTTGTGCATTCCATTTTGTTGAGCATGTTGCAATGGGAGAGGAAAAAAAGACAAGAGGAAAGAAAGAGAGAGAGAGAGAGAAAAAGAAGAGCAGAGAGAGAACCAGACACGTGCACACAGAGAACCAGAACACACCCAGTGTGGACACATGCACGCACGCACATCCAGAACCAGACACGTGTGCGCACACAGACACGCAGGACCAGACCGAGGCAGACAGATGCATAGAACCAGATGTGTGGGCACACGGAACTGGGCTCCTCTGTCACTGGACAAAGTCCGCTCAGAGGCACACGTGCGCCTGCTGGCATGGAGCTAATGCCAGAGCCTGGAGCAGATGTTTGCAGCCTTCCAGCTGCAGCCAGCCCAGGCTCTGGGTAGCTGCTGCCAACCCAGGCAGAGCTTGCAGCCACCCAGCTGCCTGCTGGGAGCAGCCTGGGCTTTGTGGCTGGCAGCAGCTGCCTAGAGCCCAGGCCAGTGGTGGCATGCCGAGCAAAATGGCCTTGCATGCCATGCTCGGCGCACGTGCCAGGGGTTGCTGACCCCTGGTTTAGACCTTTCCTGCCTGAGCAACAATGAACACATAAAAGGATGGACCTGAGGTTATGGCCTATAGTTTTCATGCAGCTTTTCGTTGTCGAGACATGCAGTTCTGCTGAGAGTTCTATGTGGTACTGCATTTCTTGATGTTCTTCTCTGGAGAAGAGAAGACTGAGGGGGGGTTTGGTCATAGTCTTCATATACCTGAAGGGCAGTTATAGAGAGGATGGAGATAGGCTTTTCTCTGTGGCTGTAAGAGACGGGTCTAGGAGCAATAGCTTTAGGCTGCAGCAGAAGAAATTGTGGTTGGAGATTAAGAGAAACTTCCAGACTATAAGATTAGTTAAGTGTTGGAGCAAGCTATCTAGAAATTGTGGACTCTCCATCCATAGAAATTTTTAGGAGCAAGTTAAGACTTGGGATAGTTTAGTCACAGAGGGTCTTGCCAGGAGCACAGGGCTGGATTACATGACCTTCTGAGGTCCCTTTTAGTCCAACAGTTTTACGTTATTGCATCCAAAAAAGAGATACTGATTTTTTTAAAACAATTTAAATGCTAATCCCTGTGGTCATACAGGATATCCTCATAACTGGGACTTGTAGAAAAATAAAATTCCATGATTTATATTTAAGATGCTCAGTTTAAGTGAATGTCCAGATCAGGACCAAGTAAATCATTCCTCTAAAAGTATCATTAAATTTTATAGGTTACCATATCTTACATGCATACATGGTTTAAAAATACTTTTTTCTTTTTTTAGATTCTCTTCTACTCTTTCATCAACATGGAAAGCTCAGATTCTAATGATAAAGGAAATATTGATCAATCAGAAGCTCAGCGTCGTAGTCAGCTGGATCGATTAGATCGGGAAGAAGCTTTCTATCAATTTGTCAATAACCTGAGTGACGAGGAATACAGGCTTATGAGGGATAACAATTTGCTAGGAACTCCAGGTATATCGGAATACATATTTGTATATTAAAGTTTTAATGTTACCAGACTCATTTTAACGACCTGTTTTTTTTTTCTTGCTGCTGTGCCATTCAATCTCCCCGCCCCCCATGTATTCTTCCAACTACAGTTGTGTGCCAGCATAAGAGAGTAGCTCTCTACTGATCTGAACATATAGTATGTCTTTTCTAGAAAGGCAATACATATAATTTAGCGCTAACTAGGATGAAGTTGAGTTAACAGAAGCAGAGCCTATTTGCTTTGTTTATGTTTACTCAGCTTAAAAAAGGACATCCAAAGTGTGTCTGAGGCCTGCTCTGGTATTGGTCTTGTGTATGTGAGACGTTTGCACCAACTTAATGAAGAGTGCAAGTTTTAATGGCAGACTAGTTAAACTGGTGATGGCCTTTGTGGGGAGTATATTTCAGTTTAGCTTATTCTTGTTAGAAATCATCCTGGATAAACAAAAATAAGCCACTTGACAAGATGAAATAAATTTGTCCATCCAGGAGCTTGCACTGGTGTACCTGAATTGCTATTAAAACTTGCAAGATGGCTTTTTTTTAATGCATTCCTAATAGAGGTAAGCTAAATTTGAAATGAGCCAGTCCAAGAAAACTGTGCCAACACATGTTGGTACTAAATCAGTTAAATACCTCTTATAGTTGTTTCGTATAGGCAGAACCTTAATTGGTTTGGAATGGAGAAGACTGATGAGATTTTTCTTAGAAATTACAGTAAAAAGCTTTTCTCAAGTTTGTTCTAAATAGTTGGTAACTGTACTTTGGATGCTGCAGTTGTAGCTGGTCTTACCTGTGAGCAAGGACACTTTTTGGGGGGTTCCACAAGCTGCCCTTTGGCTAAGTTTATAGATGTCAGTGAAGAACATTTATAAGCAGTTAGCTTCTTGTTAAAACTATATTCACAATCTCTTTGAACTGCAGCCTTAAGAATGTTTAAGCTGTGCATAATTCCTTCCTTATAGATTATTTGGACATCTATATATATAAATATATATATATATATATATATTGGGAAATTTTTCTTTGTTTCTTAAGGTGAAATTACTGAAGAAGAATTGCTGAGAAGGCTACACCAAATTAAAGAAGGTCCACCACAGCAAAACAGTGATGAGAATAGAGGTATATACAGTATTTGTGAAAACTCTTAACTTTAGCACCTAATACGGACCTTAACTTGAGTGCAGGAGTGGAACAAGTTAAGCCTAGGCAGGTGCAAGGTGAGCTTTGTTTAAAAATTAAGTGAACGTTCTATTTGACACAAGCTGCAAAGATCAGTTTTGGACAGATTTCAAGTATGGCAACTATTACTAGTGCCACAATAAGATTTCTTGTACATTTCTTTAGTTGACTTCTTTTGTTCATGTTTCTTTGCATTCTGTTCCCTTCTGAGATATACCCATAAGCCCCTCGTTTTCCCACCTTCACTCCTTTGCTTTTGTTATCCCTCTACAAAGGTGAATTACACACAGTTCCCATTAAAGCAGTGCTTCCCAAACTTCTCCTCAGCATGACCCCATTTATGACCCCATTTCCTCAGCATGACCCTATCTCCTTAGCCTTTCACTCCAAGCCATAGCCCCCTACCTCTACGACCCCATCTGCTGATGTTGCAGCTCCGTTTGGGGTCGTGACCCACAGTTTGGAAACTGCTGCATGAGAGCCTGTGACTTGTTTGTTTGTTTTCTAGCCAGCTCATCTCACTAGGTATCATAGATTTCATAGACATTAGAGCTAGAAGGGACCTTGGAAGATCATAGAGTTCAGGCCCCTGCCCTAGGGGCAGCAGGTCAGCAGGGATCATAGGATCCCAGCAAGATAAACATCCACATGTCTCCTGAAGGTGTTCAAAGTAGGTGGTTGAACCACCTCTGGCAGCAGTCTATTCCAAACCTTGGGTGCTCGGATAGTAAAGAAGTTCCTCCTTATGTCCAGCCTGAAACGGTCATGGAGGAGTTTCTGACCATTCAACCTTGTCATCCTTTGGGGCGCTCTGGTGAACAGATGTTCCCCCAAATCTTGGTGAGCACCCCTGATAAACTTATAGGTGGCCACCAGATCACCCCGAGTCTGCGCTTTTCCAGGCCGAAGAGTCCCATGGCTCTCAGCCTCTCATCATAAGGTCTGTTTTCCTGACCTGATCATGCGCGTGGCTCTCCTGTAGACTCTCTCAAGCTTCTCCACATCCTTTTTGAATTTTGGAGCCCAAAACTGGACTCAGTACTCCAGCTGTGGCCTCACCAAGGCCGAGTACAGCAGGAGAATGATGTCCTGGGATTTGCTTGAGAAGCATCTATGGATACAAGCCAGTGTTTTGCTCATTTTACTAGCTGCAGCATTGCATTGCAGGCTCATGTTCATCTTGTGGTCAGTCATGACCCCCAAGTCCCTTTCGCCCATAGCGCTAGCTAGCCTAACACTGCAAGCCTACAAGAATGGTGCAGGTTTTTCTTCCCAAGGTGGAGAAACTTGCATTTTTCAGTGTTAAACACCATTAGGTTCTCGTCTGCCCATTTCCTGAGCCTGTCAAGGTCAGCCTGGATCAGCTTCCTGTCCTCAGGTGTGGACACTACCCCAGAGTTTGATGTCGTCGGTGAACTTGGCCAGTCCACTTCTGATACCAATGTTCACATTGTTAATGAAAATGTTGAATAGTGTAGGCCCAAGAATAGAGCCTTGAGGGAACCCATTGGTAATGGCGCACCAAGACTGGTATCCACAAGTTGAGGGTTGGAAAAAAAGTTGGTTGGTGATCTAGCTGCCACTAGACTATGGTACTGGCAGTGTTGAGAGATTCCCGATTTAGCTCAGACCTGTTTTATTTTGACACTTAATTCAGAATTAACTTTCCACTTACTTGTTTTAAGAAATAATTTACATTTTTCTAGTGACTTGTTTTATGAAGATTACAACCTATAAACAGGTGTACGTATAGGCTGTAGAAAAATGTCCACTCCTTCCTTAAAGGAAAAGCTTTTGTAGTTGAAATATTTGTTAAATGTGAAACCCATGGTAGTATTAAACAAAAAACTTGAAAGAAAGCAGAACTTGATTAATTGTTGGAAAAGTTCAACCAAGAATTGATTCTTCTCTAATTTTGGTAGTTCCCTTTCTTCTGACAGGTGCAGAATCCACTGAAGATGTATCTAATGGAGATTCCATCATAGACTGGCTTAATTCTGTCCGACAGACTGGAAATACAACACGAAGTGGGCAAAGAGGAAACCAGTCTTGGAGGGCAGTGAGCCGGACTAACCCTAACAGTGGTGATTTCAGGTTCAGCTTGGAAATAAATGTCAACCGTAATAATGGCAACACCAATTCAGAAACTGAAAATGAGCCATCTGTAGAACCTTCCAATGGGGAGGATTTGGAAAATAGCCAAAGTGACTCTGACACCCCTCGGTCTGAATCGCCATCAGGAGGGCAGACTGCATCTGAAAGGAATACCTCTGAGGAATTGGCAGCGGAGGAAGCTCCTTCACACAGAGGTCAGAGAAGAGCAAGAAGTAGGAGCCCAGAGCAGAGGAGAACACGAGCTAGGACTGATAGAAGTAGGTCACCTATTAATCCAGTGAGTGAGGCTCCTCGCAGATCTCATCATAATACGTCATCTCAGACATTTGATCATTCCCCGGTAAATGAAGCTGAGGGAAGTTCCAGAACCAGACAGCACGTGACATTAAGGCAGCATTCAACAGGGACTGAGATGCCAAGTGAAAATGCAGCTCTGTTTTCAACCCCTGAAGCAAGACCTGTTCCTCAAGCTGCTGGTTCTTCAGAAACTAATGCCAGTGGTGAGTCTGCAGCTCCTGGACAGAGGCCTCCTACTATAGTCCTTGATCTTCAAGTGAGAAGAGTTCGCCCAGGAGAGTATCGGCAGAGAGACAGCATAGCGAACCGAACTCGGTCGAGGTCCCAGACCCCAAACAACACAGTCACTTATGAAAGTGAACGGGGAGGGTTTAGGCGCACATTTTCACGTTCAGAACGGGCTGGAGTGAGAACTTACGTCAGTACCATTAGGATTCCTATTCGTAGAATCTTAAACACAGGCTTTAGTGAGACTACATCAGTTGCGATTCAGACCATGCTAAGGCAGATCATGACAGGCTTTGGAGAGTTGAGTTACTTTATGTACAGTGATAGTGATGCAGATCCTAGTGGCCCAGCCCCAAATCAAAGTGGAGATGCTGCTGAGCCACCAAGTGGAGGAGGAACAGGTGGTGGTAGTTCGAGTAGTGAAGGTACTGATGCTAGCTCAGGGGAAGTCTATGAAGGTAGTAATGAAGGAGGTTCCACATCCGGTGCTAGACGGGAAGGTCGGAATACCAGGGGTTCGGTCACTTTTGAAGAAAGTGGTTCTCTACCATTCCTTAGCCTAGCACAGTTTTTCTTACTAAATGAGGATGATGATGACCAGCCGAGAGGACTCACCAAAGAACAAATCGACAACCTGACAATGAGGAATTTTGGTGAAAGCGATGCCCTGAAAACCTGTAGCGTCTGTATTACGGAATACACAGAAGGCAACAAACTTCGTAAACTGCCTTGTTCCCACGAGTATCATGTCCACTGCATTGACCGCTGGTTATCAGAAAATTCCACTTGTCCTATTTGTCGCAGAGCCGTCTTAGCTTCTGGTAACAGGGAAAGCGTTGTCTAAGTGAGATCTGAGCTTGTGGCCAAACAGCTGATGTAATAGTGATGGGCAAAGATGTCACTTCCTTTTTGGCCACTTTTTGAGTGGTGCCTACATATAAAGTAATCACTTTGAGTGAATGTTCCCTCATGAAAACATTTTCTCAGATTCAAAGCTTTTAAAATGGGCGTCTCTTTAGAGTCCCCAAATCTAGTCAGTTTCAGCGTATTGAATTTTATTTGCTCAAAGACACCTATCTGCTCAAAAAAAAAACAAAAAAAAATTGTTAAAAAAAAAAGTTTTGTGTTTTCTTTTCTTATTAAGACTGTTAAGTTCCCTTCCCTATTCCAGTGCGGTTTGAACCTTCAGGATCTCTCCTGTGAGAACTTATCTGAGAAGTCATCCCAGTTACAGAACATACTTCATAATGTGTTTTGTTTTTGTTTTTTTAAATGGACTCACCTGCCCCATTGAACTAGGAGCTCAGTTCATCGGCATCCTTAAATATCATTTTAATGTTTATATTGGGTGTTCTTTGACATCTCTGTAAATAACACTAACGTTAGTCCTTTTCCCATCACTATGGCACGCTGTAGAGTGAGCTAATAGCTTAATTGGGATATTTATCTTGTTGTGGAAATATAAGAATTGCCTATGCTTGTTTAAATAAAAATAAATTCTGTTTTAAAACTGTAAAGCTTTTTTGTAGAAGCTCAGTACTTTTTCCAATGCACTGTTGTACTAATGCATTAAAAATTAAAATTGTACCATGCTTAGAAATGAAGAGAACGCTTTTCATATAAGACCCACCACACACAGAGCAAACAATACAAGAGAGCTGCTTTTGTAAATGTGTTATTGTCAAGAGCAGTGCATATCTGTACTATTTAATTTATGTGAACAGCTACTGTAACACAACAGTTAACAATTAGACACCTTAATTGCATTAAAACTGATGGAAATTGAATGTTAGCATTGCAATGTGTTGGCTCAGTACTGCCATCAAAAAATATGATGATAAAAAAAAAAGTAGAAACCTGCTCTGAAGACTGTTCTTTTTGGGCTTTTTCCCCCCTTTATATGGTTACTTTGGTAAAATAACATATCATTTTATTTACTGAGGATTATACTCCAGTTTTGTATAAGCTGTATTTTAATCACTGGGGTGCTGTGTATAATTTCCAACCGACAGATGTTGGCAGATTTTCCTCATTACATGCCACAAAGTTAACTTCTGTGGAATTTTTTTAGTGACTTAGCTGGCTAGTCTCCAGAGTCAGAGGTGGTCACCTGTGACCAAAGTGTTCCCAGCAGAGTGATTGATTTAATGTTCAGGCATAGCTGAGAAATAATCGTCTGATGGGTTTCTCAAATTAGTTGTCAGTCTTAAGATTGGTAATGGTTATTTGAATACATTTTAAGAACAATGTTATGGGGCTAGACTTTGCAGTTTATTTTCTTTAAAATAATAGGCATCTTGAATTCCTCTTTAACATCTGCCTAAAAATCAGTTGCATGTTATATTGCAAGTAAATGGATGGCTTATCAAAATTCAAATTGTGGAAATACTTTTTACACTGTCACAATTTTAAGTCTGCATTGGAAAATGTTTGTAGCTTAACTCTCGTTAGTATTGTGGGAGGGCTGCCCTCACCCCAGTGAAATATTTCTTTTCTTTTTCCCTTGGGAATTTTTTTTCAATTCTGTTAAGTTTTTTGCAAGGAAAGCAAAGTTTTATTTTAAGTACAAATGAGTAGTTAATTAGGATATGAACTGCTCTTGCTGATGAGATGGAAAAGGTTGGTTGATCCTCAGATGAAAAAACCAAAGCTGACCTTTCTTTAAATTTAACAAATTTTCAGTGTTTCCTAGTGGTGGTTACATAGAAGATCATCTTACTATTAAGCCATTTTAACTTCCCAGCCAGTTCAGGATTCCAGCCTTCTGGAGCTCTCCTGTTCTTCAAAGTGTGCATTTTTCTTATTCAATCCAATGGGTACCCCGGGAACCCTGACTGGCTACTGTGCTCGCTTTCCTCCAGGTAGAACACACCTTTGTAGTAGATGGGGGTATTTCTGGTATTTTTTTAAACAGAAGCATATATAAATAAATACATATTCTCTTACAATTTCTCTACTTGGCATACATCAGTCTATAAAATGGGAGGTTAGGCATCTTAGTGGTTGGCGTTACATTCATGAATGTAGATTACAAAATCTTAAGCAAAAATTTCTTCTGGTAAATATTGGAAATGATCACTTGAATCTTTCCTATAGCAATCACATGCTTTTTCAGTAACTTTACTGATTTATTGGACTACAGAACTTTAAAATATTTTCATTGTATTATTTGCTACTCAAGGATATTTTTTGTTTTTTTATGCATCTTTATGAGAACTAAGGGTAGTGACCAGAATAAAAGCCCCCAGCAGAGCCAGTGGAGTAAGTCTGTAACGTCTGTCATTTTAGCAGAGCCACTTTTCTACCATAATTTTCTTCTTAGTTTTCAAGAACTAATGCTTCAGTAAAATCACCTTTTTAGTCTTACTGTTCCTTATTAGTGGCATGCCTTAACATTCTCTCTTATGTAATGGCAGCAATGCTTGACTGTTTCTGGTTCCCAAGAAGGTACCAGAAAAAGTCAGTTCAGTGAAGAATCCTTTGAATGTTTCAAATATTTGTAAGTGAGCATTGACTATACCAGAAGCGCTAAGGTGAAGGACTTTTCTTCCAAGACAGTCAACAAGACTGCAGTTGCTGATGAGGGGAAGAAACTTAAGCAAATAAGGCCTGTATCAAATTTCTCAACAGTGCTGCAAGATGAACACTGGCATATGACAGCTTTGATTTATATCCAGGAACTCCTGGTGTTTATGAACAATCTGCTTCATAAACAGTGCAAAACCAAATCTGCGAAAAGTGCAGGCCTGACCCAGCAACAGATTCTTGCTGGCTTATGCCCTAATAGTATGAGGGAACTTGGTTAATTCCTGTTACAGTGTTAGAAAGTGTAGAGCCATTCTTTTAAAGTTTTGCTGGAGCTCTTGAAACGCTGGTGTAAACGCTTTAATTGCCAATGTCGTCTGCCTCTGCATAACAGTCACTTGGGGTCGGCACGGTCACGGTTAGTTGGAGTTGTTTTGTTTTGAATCACTGTATTTAAAAGTATAAGACTCCCTTTGTGCCAAGCAGTTCTAGTTGCATCTGTAGCTTTCTCGAACCTATTCTTTTCAGTATTGGAATCACAGAGGAATGTGCACTATTTTTGCACCAATTTCACGAGCAGTCTCTCGCCACTCAAAAGGTTAAAAAAGCATCCATTGTCTCTCAAATGCCCATGTGCCCAGATGAACAAAGGGGTGGCAGCCTTGTGATACATGTGCTGTTTTCAGCTCCTTGGTTCACAGTGCCATCTTGTGGTAGCCTGTCTTACCCTCCTTTCAAAGCTGGGGGTAAATGTGCATCTTGGTTTTCACTAGTTGAGAACTTCTTTTTCTGCAAATTGAGGTGGATTTGTATTTCAGGGTGCCCCTCTGCTAGTTTGTCACCAAAGTTGTTGCTGTTTACACACGCGCACGTGCGCATGCACGCCTTCATGTTTCAAGCATCCCTCCTTTGGGCAGATATGGAATTACCTCAGGAACTTCTTGCAGGGTTGATTTTGAGTCCTCTGTGTCCGTGGCTGAACAGACTGTCTCCATAGATACTCAAGCGCCCAAAGGGTTTAAACATAGAAGGCTGCACGTAATCTTTTTGTAAGCGTGCTGCGTACTGTCCTACCCAAATTGCAAATCTGTGTGAAGTTTTATTTTTGGTTTGCCTTCTAACGGAAATAGAAACTCCCAGTCACAACTACTCAGTTTTCAAAGTTTTCCTTTTACTGGCACTTTTGTAACTTAACCCAGCTTTTTGCAAATAATAGGTTTCTCGTAGCTCATTCATTTTTTTTTTTTTGCTTGTTTGGGAAATGGTTGCTGCTCTCCATGCATAGAGCCTCCTCGTTAATGTAGGAAGTGCTCGTGTGCATGCCTGGCAGCTGCACTGACGTGATACTGTCCCAGTTCTGAAGGAGCCATGATGGTCCATTGTGTCAACTTGCAGAGTCATGTGTTCCTGACTCCATTGACACAATGTACTGGAATGACTGTCATTCCACGTGCCCATCACTTTTCTGTGGATTATGCAAATATGTAGAGTCCAAAAAGACCCTTTCACCAGTATAATGTCAGTAAGATGTTTATCGTAAAAGGTTTGCTTACACGTCAAAGAAATCCATCTTCTACGCTGTGTTTATAGTAGGTAGGGTCTAATTCTAAGAAGAAAAAAGAAATTCATAGATTCATAAATGCAGTTGAAGCTGACCATTGGTCTACCAATTTGTACCAATGTGCCTAGGTATTTTGTGGGTCTTCCAAAGGTGTGATCTTAATCAGCACAGTGAAGTATCAAATATTTAACTGGCTGGGTTAAGCCACAGCCTTAACTCTTTCTTTGCTTTAATTTGAGACCCTTACTAATATTGTAAAGTGTTCTTGTGTGTAACTGTTTGGTGTCTTGATTTTTCTCACCTGTTTTCATTCAGCCTTGGTTCTACTATGGGGACTTAAGGGGCTTGATTAGGGGTATGTGGATAGGTGTTAAGTTGATTAGGTACACAGATGTCATGGACTGCCTTTACCCACTTGTTTGGCTACTCCCAGGAGGAGCTGCTTTGGGGGGTGGGTTTGCTTTGAGCCATGTTAATGGAATTCAGCAACAGATTCAGAAATATATTTCACATCTTCAGCAGCTTTTTT